GTAATGGTCGGGCACTGCCTCGCCGGAAGGAAGGTCGACTGCCACGACAAACGATGGTCGCTCGCGCGTACCGGTGCGGATAGGGTACATGTACAATGGGCACTCGTATATCGATGAGGAACGTGGCTTGCCGTCCCGCAACTTTGGCTTAAAGTGGATGATCGGCATGGGCACAATGAGTTCCAGCGGGCGCGGCTCACAAAGTGTATTCATCTCTGCATTCCACCCCGCGCCCTCGAGGTAGATGCCCCTAACATATGCCCCCTTCTTGGCACGGTGCACAACAGTGCGCTCATCACTAGGGTGGACAATAAACTCCCATGTGTACTGGTCAATAGAGATATGATCGTGCCGAGCCTGCTGCTGTTGCAAACTCTTCAAGAAGCCGGTCGGATATGTAAATCCGGAGAGCCAAAATACATTTGGCGTACGTTGTCCCCACTGTTTCATCTGATCTATGCGCTCCACAAGGTCGACAGACCAACTCGCAAGTGGCTTCACACTTGGATACGCGCTTGTCCACGGTGGTGGGACACGACCCAGCAAGAGAGCATTAAACACCATTTCAAGCTCATCACTCATAACCACCTCTCCCTTCACCGCACGCCGAAGCTCACTCTTCTGCGCATGAATCTTTCGAAGCAACAAATTATACCGCTGAATCTCCTGCAGCAAACATGTATTCAAAGCATTGTTCGAGTCCTCCTTGACAGATTCGTAAACTGCGTCGTAATCAATAAGGTTTGGGATGGCAGCCTTGCTCGGCTCCTCCAAAGACGCAAGAATTTTAAGGCAGCGTGATTCATCTGAAGCCGGCTTTGCAGAGCTTGCACTTGCGCCACCAGAGCGTGCCAGTGTTGTGTTCACATTGATAAGATTATATAGAAGCATTGTGGACTCCGCAACACGACTTGAAATGTCGGCATTTGCATGCTGACCAAATGCCTCTGGTGGATCGGTGATGGGCAGTTGCATACATTCCTCCTTGTATGACTGCAGCGTCGTACACTCCGCTGGGATGTAATACTCCTCTGCCGATGAAAGTGGGTATCGTTCTTCAGTTATTATGGCCTCACACATAAACTGTTTAATGTATGTGTTAAGTACACGACGGTCCCAATCATCTGTGACGCGACCGCCGTAGGATGCCTCCGCAATGAGGTAGCGAATCGTGACAAACGGAATATCCTCTACACGATCTGAAGGCATCGTGTTGACGTACAGCGTGATGATATTCTCCGACACCTCAAAGTCGGAGGAAGTGAAATCGTACACAACATTGTAGCCAAGATTACCAAACTTGCGCCGTTCAAGCAACACGGAGTGGAAGAAGCACAATGCAAAGAGAAGACTACGGTAGAAATTGGGCTGGACACCGGAGTGATCCACAAACTGCTCCTCAGAGAACTGATTGTAAAGACGCAACATGTTGGATTTAATGCCCGTTGGGGGCTCAGTCGTCATCTTAATAGACCTCTGCAAGATGCCAATAGGGAACTGTGGTGTCGGCACAGAGCTGAGCCAGAGACGAAACTCTTCATGGGGACGCTGCTCGCACAAATCTTCAATGATCTTCTCCAGCTCCACCAGCCATGAAACCATCAAATGACAGTTCGCCAGAAATACCCACCCGCCTGTCTGTGAACATTCTTGAATCGCCCGCTTGGCGTTTTCGCCCTGGCCCTGGCCAAGTGCCAGCGTCTTGAGGTGCTTGCCCTCGCGTTGGGCGAGTGCAGATAATTGGGTCGTGGGATCCACACCAGGCGACAGTACAAAAACAAGTGGAATAACATTTGTGCTTTCATCAAAAGTGTCCTTGAGGTTGAAAGGGGGAGGATCCACAAACTGGGCGCCCAGCTGCCTTTCAATGAATTCATACACCATGAAGATGACACGGTCGGGGCGCAGGCAACGCACAAATATCATGCGTTGAATGTAATTGCTCGCTGTGCGTGTCTTCCACTCATCCGGCAACTCCGCATCCTCGGGGTTTTCCTGTAAAAACCACTCATGCCAGGTCTCATGCGCTTGCTCAAAAGAAGTGGCGACACCGTGGAAGTTCGTCAGTTTATCCAACTCAAGAATATGACTCCACGCACGCTCAGATAGCCACGACGGTGCCGGATTTGGCAGGCGGCCCTGATTGTCAAGTACCTGTCCACCACGCATAAGAAAGACATACTCCTCCAGGTTCACTCGGCCCTCCGACTGTAAAATACGCATCGTCATGTGAAATGCAAAGAGTAACTTGTGCTTCTCAAAAAGTCCACGACACGTGCTGGTGTACACAGCGCTTGTATGCCAATCGTTAAGCGTCACCACACGTTCCTCCAGTGACTGTATGGAAATTTTTTCCGCCGATCGTTTGATGCTGCCTTGAAAGAGAATGATGTATGAGTCCAACGCAAACTGGTACATGGCATCAATGGAGCCAAGATCAGCCAATACAAAGTATAAAATAGACGCACGGCGAGCACACTCACGGTACTGTTCACGTGCACTTTGAATCTTCTCTGATGTTATCTCCGCCTCCTTCAGTTGTTGTTTGATATTTGCCGCAATGACTTTGGAAGACTGCAACGTGTCGACTAACTTCTGATTATCCAATAATGAAACCTTTGAGATGGTAAGAAGATCTAATATCTCGTCCTCAAGGCGCTTGGTCTCCTTTTTCGCCGCCGCAGTATCCAGAATGAGCTGCTCATTCTCACGCTCCAACTCCGGCTTCTCCTTCTCCACGACAATCTTCAGCAACTGCTCCTCCAGCCCAGTTTCCCTCACCGCAAAGTTCAGCAGGCAAACTTTCGTACACGTCTCCGGGGTGTAGTGGGGATTCGAAAGGCGTGTCGTGATGTACAATTTGAAGTTCTCATTGTACTCCACATAATTATCCCCAATCTTCAGCATCGTCTTGGGCCCTTTGCGTACGAACGCCTTAGCAAGAACAGAGTCCAGCACGGGATCAATGTCCTCCAGCACATCCTGCAGGAGCAGTGGGCAACCAAACTGCACCGCGTACTCCACCGTCTTCTGGAAGTCCGATTGCTTCTGATCAATCACCTTCAATCCACAGTCCTTCTCCATGCGCTTGATCCACTTAATCGCCTGCTGCTGCGGGTCAATCATGAGCGGCCACCGTGTACCCCGCATCACCACAGCACCATTTTCTCTGCTGAAATCATCCCCCGGTAGTCCGGCCTGCTGCCAGTCACGCACCTCCGTGGGATCCGCGAGGAAGTCCACAAAGTCAAAACCCTTCGTCATGGGTATCTGCAGCCGCTTAATCTCCTTAATCCAACTGTGCCACAACTTCAAACGGTACTCGGCAGTAAAGGCACCCGAGTAGCAAAGAAAGCCACAGGCAAGAAGTGTATCTCCCGTGAGATTCCCCAGGGCCGCTTCGTAGCGAGCGATCGACTCGGTCCAGCGATCACGTTCACCCTCAAGTCCGTCAACGATGATACGAGCGCGGTTGAGTTTCATTTGAGTCTCCTTTGCCTCTGCCATAAGGCGTGTCTTTTCATCGATGTTCAACTGTAGAGCAACTTCAAGCTTTTTCACCTCATCCACAATGCGCTGAAGCTTCTCTTCCTTCTGTCGCAGCATCTCTTCCTGCGCGCGAACCTTCTGTTGGGCATTTTCGTTCTTCAATATCTTTGGATGAACCTCCTTGTAGATATTGCCATACTTGTGAATGGCAATCACCCACTGGCAAAGACCACCTGCAGCCTTAGAGACCGCACTTGCTGCTGCCGGAGTAAAGTCAGGGCGTTTCACGTACTTTTCAAGCTTGTCAAGAAGCCGCTGATCCGTCATGTCATTGTTCTCGTGGTAGTGTTTAAGCATGTCAATGAATTTGGCCTCGCCGAGGGACTTTTTCGCCTCATCCCAGTCAAGTTTGCGCCGCAATGTCGTCTGCACCGCCTCCATCACTGTACGAATCATCACTGCGGGTGTTTTGTAAGACTTGATTTCATTGATATCATTCTTGTCGAGTTTATCCAGCGCTGCCTGAGCCTCCAAAAGAGTGGGCATCGCCCGATCCAAATCCGCCTGCGCCTCGGCCTGATCCGCTAACGCTGACCGCTTCGTCTGCTCAATCTTCACCTTCTCTGACGCCAATAAACTTTGTTGCTCCTCTGCATTTTGCTGCTGGATTTGAATGCTCTCTGTCGCCCGATTCACTTCCTCGGTCTTCTCTTGTAGCTTTGCGTCCTGCACCTTCAGATCCTCCGTCATTTTGCCCACAGCCAGTTTGGTCTCCTCAAGCTTTGTCATGCCATTCGTGAGTTTATCGCGCTGCTCAAGGATTTCCTCCCGCTTTCGTGTCAACAGCTTGCGAAACCCACGCACCAAGTCAAGGTAAGAAGAGGGGGTGACGTAGTTGAATCGGTGAATCTGCTCCAACATCTCCTGCGAGGTGCTACTAGTAGTGTCATGCATGTGCACAAAGACGTCGGCGATGGCTTCAAGGTGTTCATCGTCTTCTGTATTCTCACGTGTCTCCTGCAGGTAGCGCAGCCCCACCTCACGTAACGCCTCGTTCGGCCACTTCACAAACCAATCAATCAAAGTGCATGAGACGAGTGCTGGAAATTGTCGGAGACGTGTGCGGAAAAGTTTATGCGCCGGAGACATCGCAACAACAAGATGCAAATTCAGCCGTGCGCGTTCAATAAAGAAGTTGTACAGCTCATCGGTACTGTCCCGACAGCCACTCGCCATGGCCTCCTTAAAAACAGAATCACGTATATTCTGCAGCTCATCCTTTTGAAAGAGGTTGGGCACCTCGCCTGTAGAAAGCATGTTGTTCAGATCTTCAAGAAAAGACGGCTGCATTATCTGATTGTCCGAGAAGTAAAAGACCTTCTGTTGCAGTTTTAGCCCGCAGGCCTTGTAGAGGGAGCGCAGATCCTCATGGAAGCGATCCGAGTCGTACTTTTTGTGAATCTCAACAGAAAAAATGCTATAGCCGGCGAGATACGTGGCAAGGCGTGTGAGTGAGTAACGACCACTGCCGCCAAGACCCACAAGAAGTGCATTACCACGTGGCAAACGGATAATGCGGTGAATGCGGCAAAGGTGCTCCAGGGCATCTGTAAAGAAGACGAGATTCATCTGCTGTGAGCCGGGTTCACCGTTGTATAACTCCAGACATTCCTCCACCTTCTCACGCAGAGTTTCCATTGAAGGTACCAGCTTGTATTTTGCCATCTCGTCGAATTCCCCATCCCAAAAGTCCACAAAAATGGGGCTTTCGTTCTCATTCAATGGTTGCGATCGGGCCTCCCGTGAGCGTGCCCGCATGATGCTACTCCACTTCATCTGAAAGATGTTGGCAAGCTTCTCGTAGATAAGGTTACGGAACCACTGCTTATCAATTGGGTCATTCATACGATCGGAAAAGACACGGAAACATTCATGCGCCCACAGTGCAACCATGTGTTCCTTACA